CCCCCCCCCCCCCCAGAAGAAGCCAGGATGTGAAGAAGAGCCATGGAGAGAGAAGAGGGAAGGGGTGTGTGGAGGCTCCTGCCCAGGGGCGCCTCTGATAGCCCAAATGGCATACACACTGCTACTCAGCACAAAGGCCCATCCTAACGACTACAGGCCTGTCCCTTCTCTGTCCCCTCTCCTGGGACTGGGCACCCCCACAAGACTCTCACCTATCCCCTCCATCCCTTCTCCCCACAAAACCCCAGGGCTAAAGGGTTTTTCACTTTCCCAAAGTCTGTGCGTCCGAGTGCTGGCTTGTCCATTTAGCGTCTTCTCGGATGGGCTGGCCGGTAGCTGGTGTGGGGGGTTGGCTGACCGCGGCGGAGGGCCTGCCGGAAGACTGGGAGGGGCACCGCCTCCTGCCCTCGCCGCTGCCACCTCCTGCTGCCACTGGGTGTCGCTTGTGGTTGCCCTCCTCACCCATGGGGGGCTGCAACAGAGGAGGGAGTCAGAGGTGATGAGGGAGCACTACTACCCACACCCCCTTCCTTGCCAGAGCTGTCTAGAGACCCCCTAACTTCCTACCTCCCAGTGTAGATGATGAATAGGTTTATAACCCTAAAAACTAGTCACCCATTTTATTAAGCACATCTCCATGCTATGAGGCCAAGCCTTGTGCTGGTTTATGCACATTCACTCCGGTGGTCTACACCACCCTTTGATGTAGACATGACCATCTGATTTCACAGATGAGGACAGCGAAGCATAGAAAAAAAATAATTTGCCAAGGGTCCCAGAGCTTTTAACTGGTAAAGACAAAATCTGGACCAGACCCATCTACCTCTGAAGCCCAGGCCTTTATCCATACAAGTTTCTGCTCCCCTTCTGAGAAGAGGTCACCGCTCAGGAGATGGTACATGGAACGTGGCACGCAATATGCTGCAATGCCTCCGCTCGGAAGGCCCAGATGCTCCTGGGGGCTGCCTCACGCCCCTCAAGGCCCTAAAAAGGACACTGATCTTAAGAGTCAGACCGGGATCCAGTCTAGCCTCACCACTGCCAAAGGTCCTGAAATAACCCCGAGGACACTTCCTTCCCTTTCTCGGCGCCAAGGGTGGAGCCCTTCTTGCTCTACTCCCAACAGGTCTCCCTATTCTCTGCACACGTACTCCCCACTCCAGGCCCAGAAAGGAGGAAGACCTTAAGGATGGAAGACAACGGACTCATTTTTTTGCCAGGACACCTGAGCAGCGCTGCCACTATCTCACGGGCTGGCCATGGGCTCCAGTTCATCCACTGCTATAGTGATGATAACAGTAACCCTGCTTGCTTCATATTATAAAGGTTAAATGAGGTCAGTGTAAGTGCCTAGCACCATCAGTGTCAATTTTTAAATAAATGTGAGGACTATTATTTACTTCTATTCGCCCTTTTGCTAAAAGGTTTCAAGGGAATAAGATGACTGGCATATCCCTTCTACATTATAAACTCTCTGCAGGAAAAAGAGTTTTACTTATCTCCGGAGTCCCTGAAGCACCTAGCACAGAAGAGGAACCAGCAGTAATAACTTGGAGCCACCACTGGATGTCACTGTTGAGTCACTGCTCCAGGAAGATGAAGTGGGTGGAGCAGGGAAGAATCAGACATATTTTATAAACTTCTGGGGTTAGAACTGACCTCTCCCAGAAAGACACTTACCTTGGGTACTCATCCTGATCACCTCTAACTAGGGCACAGCAGCAAGGAGGGTTAGAGATAATAGGGAAAGTGCATTATGATGGTTTAGCCACATCCACCATGGGAAAGGGAGGAAGAAGCAACCATACACCACCCTCCAATTAGCCTTCACTGCCCCAACTTCTCACACCCTCTGTTTAACAAAGAAACTGAGGCCCAAATGGGGGCAGGAAGGGTCCCTGAGCTAGTGGCACAGCTGGGATCAAAATCCAGGTATCCTGATGTCTGGTCCAGTTTTCTTTCTAGGACAATCAGGGTGGGAAAGAGGAGAGACATCCACTCACATCCACTCGGAAGTCTTCAAGACGTCGGAATTTGCCGAGGTATTCTTGAAGTTTGGGGTCAATGTCCAAATTTTTGGCTTTGGAATATTTCAAGAAGGCCCAGAACTTCTCCAGCCCATACAGCTGACCTGCAAGGAAAGAGGAGAAAGAGGTAGAGAGAGACTTGGCTCTGCGAAGTTGAGAATAGCGAGGCTCAGGAGAGGGAGGTATGACATGATACAGACAAGCCCAGGCAGAGCTAGGGGCCGAGAAGACTGAGATGACCAGGGCTCGCAGAGCCCCAACTCTTGACTCTTACCAGCTTCATAGTCCTTCATGGTTTCCTCCTGAAAGTCCTTAAATATGTCCAGCCGGAACTTCTTTTCCAGGCCATAACTGTAGTATCGAAAAAGGCACTCCAAACCGTATCTGTAGAAGAACACAAGCCAGTGAAAGTGGGACAGTGTCTTTATCTGTAAAACAGGAAATGCACCTGGATGATAGATGAACTATGAAACAGTTTAAACACATGGATTATTGAGAAAATGGTAAGCATACTTTGAGAAGGCTAACATTTAATGCTAGTCTTAATGAGTCCAGCATTAAATGTTTGCCAAGGGTCAGCAAACTGAGGCTGAATGAACGACAGCATCCTGCCCACACCCATGTGCCTATGAAATATCATTGGGGGCTTTCTGCTACAAGAGCAGAGTAGCTGAAACAGAGACTTTACGTCCCACAAAGCCCAAGATATTTGTTGTCTGTCCCTTATGCAAAGTTTGTCAATCACGGGCATGAACTCTCTGCAAAGCCATTTGACCATGCCAATTAGTAGGTTTCTTCATTTACCTCAGAAATTTCAATTCTAGGAATATATACCAGGGAAATGACCAAAAATGTAGACTAAGATTGTATAGATGTACAAAATTGTTCACAGCAGCATTATCTTGAAAAATTTAAGTGTCTTAGAGAAGCGATTAAGAAAAATCATGGTAACTTAGTACAAAAGAATAATATAATCTATTAAAAATTATAATGGGGCTTCCCTGGTGGCGCAGTGGTTGAGAGTCCGCCTGCCTACCAACATGAGGATATTTAATAATCAAATAGAATTCTCCAAACCCCTTGCTTTGTAAAACATTCATTGGGGGTACTGTCCCATTGACCTTGGGTATCTTCTAAGAATTTATCTTATTTTAAATTAATAACTTGGTGGATATTTCTGTTGGAATCTTTATTCAATGGCTGTTAGTTTTCTAAATTCACAAGACACCCCATGATTGACATTGCCACCTTTATGGAAAACAATATTTAAGCATCAATTATATATATATATATATATATATATATATATATATAAATAATGTAAATATACTACTGAGAGATGTTTACAATATATTATAAAGTAGAAAAAACACATTTCAAACTGCTATATGTAGAATAAACCCACTGTTGTAAATAAATATGTAAAATTTGTATCTATACATGCACACAAAGTCTGGAAGGGCACAGACTACATATATTAAATATTATTGACACTGGTTATCTTTGGGAATTGGGACTTTCAAATGATCTTGTCTCATGTAACAACTTCTGTAAGAAGGCAAAAAGGTTAAGTATTTTAACAACATGGAAAAATGCTCATGCTTATAAATGATAAATAAGACATAAAAAGGCATTCCTTGCATGACCTAAATATACATAATATGGCAGAACATTAACACTGGTTGTCTCTGTACTGAAGGACATTTCCCCCCAGCTTCTTTAAACATTTCTGTCCTTTTCAAATTGCTTACAGAGAAAACATTTTACTTGGGAGAAAAAGTGTCCCTTCAAAGTTTTTTGGGTTTTCTTTTTGAATAGCAAAATGCTGAAAGCAACCGAAGTATCTATTAATAGGAGACTAGTTAAATAAATTATGGTACATCTATAAAGTGTAAGACCATACAAGCTATAAAAAAAGAACAAGAAAGTCATTTATAAATGGATACAGAGGGCTTCCCTGGTGGCGCAGTGGCTGAGAGTCCGCCTGCCGATGCAGGGGACATGGGTTCGAGCCCTGGTCTGGGAGGATTCCCACATGCCACGGAGCAGCTAGGCCCGTGAGCCACAACTACTGAGCCTGCGCGTCTGGAGCCTGTGCTCCGCAACGGGAGAGGCCGCGATAGTGAGAGGCCCGCGCACCGCGATGAAGAGTGGCCCCCACTTGCCACAACTAGAGAAAGCCCTCGCACAGAAACGAAGACCCAACACAGCACAAATAAATAAATAAAAAAATAAAAAATTAAAATTAAAAAAAAAATCTAAAAAAAAAAAAAAAAAAAAAAAAAAATAAAAATAAAAAAAAAAACTAAAAAAAAAAAAAAAAGGATACAGAATGATCTCTAAAATATAGCCTTAAGTAAAAAAGTGAGGTGCAAAATAATATCTAATAGAGGCCATCTCTTGTGCAAACAAAAGGGGTGTGTGGGGAGACTACCTAGGTCTGTTCTTGCTTACATAAGCAAAGTATTCTTAGAAAGGACTCACAAGAGTCTAACAATACTGGTTGCCTGTGGGGAAAGGAACTAGACGGCTGTAAAACTGGGATAAGGAGACTCCTCACTCGCTACATAACCTTCCGACTTCTTGGAATTTTGAATATATTACTCATTCAAAGCAATAATTTTTTACAACGTATACAACAGATTTCCAATTACAGTTCTGGAAGTAGACCCAACAGAGAACCCTCACCATGCCCCCAAGCCCCAGCCAGAGCCTTCACCCCAGTCCCACTCACCTGTAGCCTTCTTTGGCATCCTCCAGAGCCAGCTGCTTGAACTCCTCATACATCTTTTTGTTGAAGTGATCTCGGAGGAAGAAGGACCAGAAGCGGAAGAGAGTGTTCATCTCCTGAGACTGGCCAATGCCCAAGCGTTTCCGCTCTGATCGAGGAGGAAGGAGGGAAGGTGTGTTTTAGAGCCAGGCTGCCTGTGCTTCAGGGGACAAATGATCCTGGGGCTCAAAGACATCGGTCTTTTCTCCTCCCAACTCCCTTCCTCATCACCTGCCCCCTTAAGTGTTTGGGGAAGTGTTTATTGAGGACTAACTACCCTGCGTCAGGCTCTGCTGCTGGGCACTGGGCCTGAGCACCCCCGGAAGTAGGTGGCATCAGCTTCAGAACCAGGTCTTCCTGGTCTAGCTCTCCACCTCAAAGGTTACTGCTCTCAGTGTAGATATATAACAAGGAAAAGCACGAACAAATAATTTGTGTACTCCAACAAATTATTTTCTTCACTATATCATCAGTACCGATTATTTCAGCAGTCCTACAATATTAACGAGTAAAAATGGTACCATTTAAAAAATATGTAAAACACCCAAGAACAAGAAACAAAAGAAAAAAATAGAAAAATCTGATATCACTAAAAAAATTAAGAACCTTTGTTCTTAAAAGGACATGATCAACAAGGTGAAAAGACAACCCACAGAATGGGAAAAACTATTCGCTAATTATGTTATCTGATAAGGAGCTTGTACTTAGAATATATAAAGAATCATTACAACTTAATAATAAAGACAAACAATCCAGATAAAAAGTAGACAAAGGATCTGAAGAGACATTTCTCCAAAGAAGACATTTCTTACAAATGGCCAGTAAGCACATGAAAAAATGCTCAACATTATTAGCTATCAAAACCGTATCAAATCAAATCAAAACCATAAAAAGATATCACTGCATACCCACTAGGATGGCTATACTCAAAAAGATAAGACTATAACAAGTTTTGGGAGGATGTGGAGAAATCAGAACCCTCATACACTGCTGTTAAGAATATAAAATAGTGCTGCCACTTTGGATATCAGTCTTGCAGTTCTTCAAAAGGTTACACAGAGTTACACTATGATATGACCCAGGAATCCCACCTCTTCCACTCAAGATAAATGAAAACCTATGCCCACACAAAAACATGTACAGGAATGTTCAAAGCAGCATTACTCATGATAGACAAAAAGCAGAAACCCAAAATGTCCATTGATTGATGAATGGATAAACAAAATGTGGTACATCCATAGTGGAGCGCTGTTTGATAATAAAAAGGAAATGAAGTACTGATACATGGTACAACATATAATGAACCTTGAAATTATTAAGCTAAGGGAAAGAAGCCAGTCACAAAGGACTACATATTGTATGATTCCATGTATATGAAAAGTCTAGAACGGGCAAAGCCATAAAAACAGAGAGCAGAGTGGTGGTTGCATAGGCCTGGGAGGAGCTGGGGAGGTAGGGGGGGGCGGGGTGGGGAGTGACTAGTAAGGGGCCCAGGGTTTACTTCTAAGGTAATGAAAATGTTCTAAAACGGATTCTAGTGATGGATGCACAACTCCTAAATATACTAAAAGCCACTGACTGCACTGTACACTTTAAATGGATGAACTGTATGGTATGTAAATTGTATCTCCATTAATCACACACACACACACACACACACACACACACACACACACACACACACACACACACACACACGTGCGCGCGCGCGAAGAGGGAAGTAAGGTAGATGAACCAGGAATTTAGCAGCCTTGTTTTGCTGAATAAAAGGGGACTGAGTGACTTAATAACTCTAAGTGAGCATTCAGATCGACTCTGAGCATCTTTAGAAACAACCTGACAGAAACCTACAGTTAAAAGCTATCTCCTCTGTGATGAAAGGTAAGAGGTGAGAGCGTCTAGAGAGGCTCTCTCCTTGCAGTCTCATCTAGAGCAGGGGTCAGCCATCTCTTTTTTTGTGAGAGGCTGGAGAGTAAGTATTTTAGGCTTTGCAGGTCACATATGGTCTCTGTCATAAATTCTCTCCCTCCCCACCCCACAAACACTCAAAAATGTAAAAAACTGTTAGCTCCAGGGCCTAACAAAGATAGGCTGCTGGCTGCATTTGGTCCCCAGGCCGTCACTGTTCTAGAGAATATACGCTGTCTCATGCACACCCTTTTGTGACACTGGTGGTCTTGCCAGACCCAGGAAAATTCTTGGCATTTTTTATATCAGTAGAGAAAGATCAAGGAACAGGAATGTTCTGAGCACCAGATTCTTTTTGCCTCCTGTATTCCAAAACTACCTGGCTATTACGTCATATCACTTCTTGCTCTCAGGTTAGAGAAAACAGTCACCTGCTCCACCAGCCCTTACACTGGATCTAAGTAGTGGTCCAGGAAGCTCAGCCCTCTCCCTCTGTGCTTCTTACCGTTAAGGCAGCGCCTACGATACTTGTGGTAGACGTGTTGTGTGAAGCCGTTTTCCTTGAGCAGCTCGTGGGAAGGATGCTGGAACTTGGGCAGTGATTGAGGGGTACAGCCATAGCTGCCAACCGCAGGCGTGCCTTCTGAGGGGCTGGAGCTATAAAGACCATGAAACAGAGAGTGTCACCAAGTTCCTCAGACCTGCCAGCCATCAAATAGGAGGGGCCTCTCTGGTCTCTTCCAGCAGCCAAGATCCAGCCTCTCACAGTGCAACAAACAAAGAGGCCCAGGTACTGTGCTAGGCCCGCAACTTATTATATATATCCATGGGTCTCACTCTTTGTACCAACCTTTGGATGCTCTTTTAACAAAGAGGTCACTGAGGCTCACAGAGACTGGGAGTCTTGCCCTGGGCCACAGAGCTAATATTTAACTTCCCAGATCTGTACAATGCCCAAACCTGAGCTTTTAGCCATTTACTTATCCCGTGTTAACATTTAACTTTCCTTAATGAGCTGTAATGGGTTAACCCAAACATATTTTTCTTAAAACCATGCCTATCTTTGCAGGGAATAGACTGCATAGGTCAGTGGCTCCCAAATCTTGCTTTGGAACTGAGAACACTGGGGTCGTTTTCCTGAGAAAAAATAAAAAGGAATCTGGGCCCTACTCCCTGAAGCTCAGTAAGGAGATCTAGGGTGGGGTCCAGGAATCTGTATCGTGATGTTCAACTCCCTAGCTATCTTGAGGGAGGCAGCAGACACCCACTTTTGAAATCAACTGAGCTATCCTCTTGAGAGAATGCCATGTGGCCGCCACACTTCAGAAGGCAGCCTTCCTCTTTCTGGGATCTGGATTAAGCTCTCTAGACTACTCCTGTCTTTTTGGATTTGGATGAGGGCACCTTCCTTAAATTTTCTTTAATTTGGGCACAGGCCCAGGAGTTTCTCTCTTCTTGGTCTCATCAATGTCACGGCTCAGCTGCCCACCCTGCAGTCAGCCTAACCTCCCTTCCCCACTGTCCCATACCTTATGGAAGCAGTCCGGGGCCTGTGCTCGCGAGAATCCATCACCCAGCCCACGTGACTCTCCAAGGGTGGGTTTGAGCTGTGTCTGGTCTTCCTTTTCCGAGGCATCTGCAAAGGTCAGTCCGGGACTTTGTTACTAATTGTACTCATCCAACACTGAGGAGCATCAAGCATTTGTAGGACTAAGATTCCCTCCTAGGTGTGAGTTATCTCACAATTTATAAAGCATTTTCATGTCTATTTTCACATGACGTCCACAGCTGTAAGCTAGGCGCTGACAGGCCTACTTCACAGGTGAGGAGATCGAGGCTTGCTGGTGACATGATCTGCTCAAGGACCCACACCTGGTCAGTCCTCCTTAGGCCTTACCATGGCTACATGCGGCCACCACTCCCACGCCCAGTCCATCTTGCAGATGTGTCACTCAATCAATGGTGGGCCCACCAGCCTAAGAATACGGAGCAGGTGGGGGACGTGGCACTTTCTTGACTCAAGGCAAGAGAGAGAAGCAGAGCCCTGGAATGCAGTGAAGTGAGCCCAAGACTCTTAGCAGCTCAGCA